GACCATTTTCACCGTGACTTAAGCGAAACGAGCACTGACTACAAAACAGAATACCTGAGGATCACTGACCCCAGACGTGACATCACGCGTTTTAAAAATGAAAGAGAAACTGTGGTTGGCGGGTAAATTCCCTGTCCTAGATTATTCTTCAAACCTGTGGGCTGCAACTCCTTTATGGTATCTGATCGGTTTTCAGTCACAGAATTTCTTTGGAGTATGATTTCTATGAACCCATTTCTCGTTTCTTGGACCATTGTGTTTTTTAAAGTTTACTTTAAAAAGTTCTCAATGTTTGAAGTATGCAGAGTAGGCGGTGCTATGTCAACTAACATGTAAACTTTGCTCCAGCGCGAAGCATTTTAAACACATGCAGGAAAAAAGTCACTTTGATTCAGAATGTGCATTTTGTTGATCTAGTCTGAGTTTTCACAAAATGGTAAGTAAAAACAAACGCAATAAAATGAAAAACGCCTCAGCGCACAAATCCAGTCAATACCGTCCTTGCGGCAGCAGCGATTTTCAGTAGGATAAGAGCCTGGGGAAGAGGTGCACTTCCAATAAACAAAATGGATTGGCTCCGTTGGGCTATATACAGCTTTGTGTTGTACATGGAACCGTTTCATTGCGCTGTAAGAAGGATGGAGCAGGAGAGTTACAACTTTGGTATCGTGCGATGCTCAACGATTGCCGCCTTTTATATGCCAGTAGGATAGCGGGGCATGACGAGATGGTATGTGAGTTATTGATGTATTTCCTCTTTCACTTCCAAGAGTGCACTGACAAAATCAGCAAAATCAAAACGTTATCAAAGAGCAGTCGAAATTTCATTTCCTCCAATACTGAAAACAAATAGTACCATGTGAGAGTACTGATAAAGGGGTTTCGTCCAGGTGCTTAAGAGCTGAATTTTATAGATCCATGACTCTGGTAGTGAAAGGGTTTTAAATATATAATTTAACAATACAATTATAATAAGACTTCAGAGGTAGTGCATCGTTTTATTACTACAGCTCTGTTTCGTGTGGCCAAAAGATTACCACACTCATCGGGTACTATCAAAGATTGGCCTGTTAGATTACAACAACTGGCAAGAAAGCGGAAATAAGGTTGCTGTGAGATATAAAAACTGCGTTATGTTATCGTATAAATCATGTGATTGCTATTTATAATTTGGAAGATTGTGTTACTTTATCACAAAGTTCCGTGAGGAGGTAAGCCCGGAGGGGGGGGGAAGGGTTACCTCCTTATAAGAGGCTTCCCTATAGGAATGTGCCGCTGGATAGGGTCGCATTTTCACAACTGGATTGACTATAGAGGGGTCGAAATTTCAATAGAGTCACTAGAATGGGGTGTCACATTTTGGGATTTTTTGGGGTAAGACAGTTCTTTATATTTACGGTTAGCAAACGTCCCAGAATGTTTCCACTGTGGGTGAAAAGTAAAGTGCTCCTCATTCAGTTTAAAAAATGGTTCAATTCATAAAAAGAAAGAGTGATTATTTGCCCAAAAGTGGCTAAGATGGGGTCTATAATTGGTCACAGAATAGACTGTAATGGGGTAGGGGATCTGAGAGGCCAGCGGCACATACCCAGCAAACATTTAGCCAAGTACCCCCCCTGGGTATTAAGCGGACACCTTCGGGACCTTCCCAAGTGTCACCTTTTTATAGAGGTTTGTAAAAATTGCGCAATGTTTGTTAGCGACTAACATTCAACGGTTACTCTGTACTGTGATTAAGCCATGTTGTTGAGGAAACTAAGGAAGCTGTGCGGTACTTTGCGCAACACTTTAGGTGAACTTTGATCGCAGATGACGATTATACTGCCGGATATCGGTGTAATATGCAGTTAATTGACCTCTAAATGTATTGATTTATCTCTATTAATCGACTACAGTACGTATTTCAAGGAAGTAATCCAATACTACCTCTCCTTACTTTTTTCAGTTTGTAATTATGCCTGAAACTACAATGAAGGTCACCAAGGATACAGTTACAATTAAAGAGCTAAAAGACTGGTGGGGTCACGAAGGACAAACTGTTCAACTAAAAAATGCTGATCCAAATGAGCTTCAGCTTTTTATTGAAAAAATGTCCGTCCCAATCAAAGGTGAGAGTGTTCAAAGTAATTTCCAAAATTTTGTTTAAGTTTTAGTTTTGGAATAAAGAGGTACATGGTTGAACCTCTGTACAATTGTATGGAAACAGGCCGATCTTTCTTTTTTTTTGGTTTTAGTCTTTACATAAAAAGACGAATACAGGTTAAACTTACTGTATTTACGAAGGTTTATAACAACAGGTAGCTCAAGCTTATAGCTAGAGTAGTTAGTTTAGTGTTTTTGAATTGAGAAGCGTACGGTTAAACCCGTACATTTGTGTGGATAGCTGGGCTTAAATATTTATAATTGATGAGTGAAATATCCATATTTAGTATATACAAAATCAGTGGATAGTGTTTTTCGCGCGCTCTGATTGGCTACGCAATCAGTGAATCTCCTTCACTATTCACTGGTTCAGCTCCAGTTCCTCCGAGCGAGCGACGCCAAACTTGCGTAAGTTGCGAGCAAAATGCCTTCCCTGTTTGCTGCCGTAACAAACCAAGAAATTTCACAACTAATCATGCAAGCTATTCCCAAAATACATGAAAAAGGTGACGAAGTTCGGTTTGGAAGTTTTAACAGGTAAATCTTTGTCTTTTTGACTTAAATTTATCGATAAAACCGGTGAAAAAGTTTTTTGTTTAGAAATGCAAATTAAGCTTAAATCTTGCGTTACTTAATTTAGTTGACTTGTTCACAAATAAGCTTAAAACTAAATTTAATAATCTTTTTTTACAGAATGATTTTAAATACCAAAAGAATTCACAACTCCTTTTGAAGAAACTTCCCCGCAAGAGCTATACAAGCGCCTTCAAAAGTTTTATTTGTCGCTAAGAAAAAGGGATGACCGAGGCCGTTCGGTCATCGTGCGCCAAAATTGTAATCGTTGGCAACAGTAAATGAGTAAAAAATCATCATTTTTGTCCTCAATTATCTCACTGTCTTAGTATATACTAAAGCAATTATTCACCTCAGTGTCGGTGGCTAGTAGTGGAAAATATCCACTACTAGCGACCTCCACTTCGGTGAATAATTGTTATAATTATAACAAGACAGAATATTAACGCTTATAAATTTTGTCAAGCGGGAATCTTCGTGTCAAAACATTGTTCGCTGTTAACAGTGTCAAGAGGGGTAGACTACTAGAACAACAATGATCTTCTTAAAAGCAACAAAGAAAGTAGAGCATGATATCCGGCTGGCCCCTATTCTAGTGATTTGGAGTAAAAAAAAATCAGATCATATTTAAGACTAAATGAAAGCTTTGAGTCAACTGCATTAGTCTGTAATTGACAAATCCATTGATGCGAATTGCTTCCTCGCCTCATTTTTCTCGCGCGCTGGCGGTTCCGCCGCCAAAATTTCCCCTCAGATCCTGACTCGTCCTCAGTTACTGTAGTTTTCTTATCAAAAATGTAGTTTACGTCATAGAAAGTGCTTTCTACGGAGTTATATTCACGAGCTGTTTGTGTCAAAACCCGAACGAGCAAGATACGAGCCAGTAAGGGCTTTTGACACAAACAAGTCGTGAATAGGACCGCGTACAAAGTAGACGTGAGCTGGTTATTACACATATTAGGAGAGTTTTCAATGAAATAGTTCTCTTAATGTAACACATAAGCTTATTACTATTAAAAGAGCAAATCACAAATGCTGACATGCAAATGCAAATTTAATAGCAATGGCAAATCTCGCAGCACATCGTTAGTCCTCATCGTGCAGAACAGAAAATGCACTTACAAAAGTTTAATCTAGTATGACGTTACAAAAGACTGCAGACCTCAGCGATGTGGGCTCGTATAGAGGAGTTCACGCTCATAGTTGCATCGTAGGTAATCAGGACAAGATGGAGGGAAATTCAAAGCTTTGTATTGGAATTCAAACCCGCTAATTCTTCCTGAATTCATATATTTGATGCTTGATTTTCCCATACATTTTCTGTAATTCCACGGTATCAAAATTACAGAAAATTTATATGGAAAAATTCAGGTTTTCTAAAAACTCATCACGGACGCCTTTGCACTCCAGATTTAGTGTATTGTTTTTTTGAACTCGTAAGTTACCCTTTTTAAAAGAAACAAAAGCTGAAGTATTTTGGCCAATGTAAAGAAATAAGGACTTGGGAAAGATCATCTTGGAGGGAAAGATAGATGAGAAAAGGAGAGAGGAAGACCTATAAAGTAGAGAGGAGGGGACATGTCACTAACAGAAGTAGGAAGATTGGCAATTGGTAAAAACTGTTTCCCCTGTGCGGTAAAAGATGCAACGTCCTATGGGATAAGCAGATAGAGTAAAAATGCGAGCGTGATTTCAATTTCGGACTGGAACGTGTCGAAACGTTTTGATATCAAATCGACTGATTTAAGGTTCATCTGAACGAAAAAATGAGAGCTCGTTCAAAGAAGGAGCTATTCTTGGACACACACTTCAATATTTTGTGTGAGTTTACAAGCAAGCCATAATTATTTAGTGACAATCGGAGGGAAACGAAATTCTGATTTCCATCTTCTTCATCAGTATCTCTTAAGCTTATGTGTCGTTCAGTTGAATCAGAAGAGGAGCTTTGAAGTCAAAATTTTTAATTTTTCTTTTTTAGGTGACACTTAATCGGATTGCCCATGTTACTTGGGTGATTTTCATGATTGCCTTGTTTTGTTTTTGATCATGAATTATCTTTTCAGAAAAAAAACAAAATCTACGCAAAGCAAATTCGCCAAGGCGAACCTCAGAAATAGAAAGTCAGTGGAGGGATTTTCAGCGACGTGAGGAAAACTTCCAGAGACAGATACGGGAGATGCAGCAACGCGAGCAGGATTTATTTACAAAGGAAACTCAGAGTGGTTAAAGAAAGGTATCAGGACTCTCAAAGCCAGCTAACGGATATTGAGCAACACGAACAAAATATGCAGCGGCTATTGAGAGAGCTTCAGGAACGAGAAAAAAATTCTGAAAGGCAGCTGAGGGAGTTTCAACAACGTGAAGAAAATTCTCAGAGGCAGCTGAGGGAGTTTCAACAACGTGAAGAAAATTCCCAGAGGCAGCTGGTGGAGTTGCAGCGGCAACTGAGGGAGATAGGACAGCAGTTGACCAATTGCCGAGGACAAGTTTCTGAACTACAGTTAAGTCTTTCAACAGCACAGAAAACTATAAATCAATTGCAGAACCAGGAAACACGTGACTGGGTTATTCCCCGGGACGAAATTCAAATCACAGAGAACTACCTTGGGAGGGGAGGATGGGGAATTGTCAATGAGGGAACGTATTGTGGCTGTACCGTCGCAGTGAAACAGATCCATGAGTTGATTCTTTCTCCTCATAACATAAATCTGTTTGAAAGAGAAATGAATATCGCTTCTAAATGCCGCCATCCTCACTTACTACAGTTCATCGGCGCCACGAAAGATGAGGGAACTCCTCTGTTTGTGACCGAGCTGATGGAGAAAAGTCTGCGCACTTTGTTGGAGCAGCGGCAACTCTCCGAGACAGAAATAGCCGTCATTTCTCTGGATGTAGCACGTGCCCTGAACTACCTTCATAGAAAGAAACCAGAGCCTATCATTCACCGTGTCGTCAGCAGTGCGAATGTGTTGCTAGGGCGACAGGGTGACCAATGGAGAGGCAAAGTGTCAGATTATGGCACTGCTAATTTCATGCAGCAGACCATGACAGTGGCTCCTGGAGCTATGATTTACAGCGGACCTGAAGCACTTACATCAAACCAAACAGTCAAGGTAAGTTTTAGTCACTGTTCAAGGCTGTTAACATTAACATAAGAATTAAGTGACCCTTACCCGTGCATCGTATCGGTCGTGGTTTCTTCTTTCCATTGTCATCGTCGGGGATTACGGAAGAAGTGGCTGCGTTAGTTTGTTGGCTTTATAATGGCACAATGTTATGTTTTGTTGTTTTTTTTTTTTTCAAGCGGAGTAGAAAACTGTTGTGCCTGTTTAGCTTCTTCAGTTATCCAACGGACAGTTTTATTGGAAAGTGTCCTGTTGAATTTCTCGTTTTATAAGATACCTGTAGATCTGTTCAAAATTTGTCAAATATCTGCCATTTTTGGCGGTGATTTTGCCACTACAGCGTATATTTAGCTCATTGTTTAAAATTAACCAAATCCATCGGTGTACACCCAAATCTGGTCTTAATTGTGCTCTTTAACGGCGAAATTTCAATCATCCCTTCTATGAGCTCCCTCGGGCTCTGACCGCATTTTCGCGCGCTCGAATTCTCCCCCTCCCTACCCTTGTAAGTTATCAGTCAACCTCATTTAGACCATCTCATTAGTGAATTGGTTCTGGTGCAGCTTTAAGATGTTTAGTCACTGCAACATGTAGATCATGATATAAATAACGAGACGCCTAAAAGTTGTCCCCGTGGGAATGCATTGGTGTATACCGGCATAAAATACCTTTTGATAAAGGTTGGAAAAACGTTGTTTTAAAAGGGTTTTTTTCTGGCTGCGTACAGTCCCCGTATAATCGCTATTTTTGCTCTAAATTCCGCTCATAGGTTCTCATATTAACGAGCTTTTGTACCTCCAAATGGAACTCAGTGTTTATCGGCAACTGTAATTTTCCTGCTTGTCTTGGCAAACTCAGTTTCGCTGTGATGAACAACTGCCCCGAATAATGTCCCTGCAATGAAAACGTAGCCTGCGTTGCAGACGTAACGTAACCAAACCCCGGCAAGAAACGTCAAGAAGCGTTCTGGGCCGCCCGTACCAGGATTTTAGTACGCGCCATGATTGGCCTGTTAAAGAAGCCATTGCTAATTCGCCAATCATATTGAATGGAAATTCGAAACACACTTCCGGTAACTCGTTGAATCCCGTAGGGGTTCAGAACAAGGATCTCACCGCTGCTTCGCAGACGTTACTAACCGGGGTTAGATTACGTTGGCGATTTGGGCTATGAAAACCAAACCTCGTTGGATTTTTACTAACTGCAGCAGGGTTAGCTCAGTCTGTAGAGCGCTTGACTGCAGAGCGGGAGGTCGCGGGTTCCATTCCTGGGGCCGGACCATTACTCAGGGTCTTAAAATAAAATAAATAAATACTCCCTTTGCACTGCAGGCGGCTAGACCTTGGGGTGTCTTGGATGACCACGTGAGATGGCGGTCCTGTCTCCAGTTGGAGACGTTAAAATAGTGTCCTCAATTAGTACTTTCGTGCTAAATACCTTGACACTCAAATAAAGTGCATTGTTTTAAAACAATATTGACTTCCTCAAATTATGTTTTATTGTTGTTAGGTTGACGTCTACAGTTGGTGCTCTTCTTTGCGAAATGTGCATGAGAGAACTTCCAGATCCTCAAAGGCGTAACGAACAAGTGTTGCTTATAAGAAAGAAAGAAAGAAAGAAAGAAAGAAAGAAAAAGAGAGAAAGAGAAGAAAAAGAGCACTACGCGCAGTTTTCCTAGATAAGCAATCAAGCTACCAAGCATTGCTGGACAAAAGTGACCTAACGACTCTTCAGAACAGAAGACTGCAAGATATTGCTATCCTTATGTATAAGGTGAAACACAAACTATGCCCCATCAAAATATCCGAGCTATTTCACGCGCATTGCGCACCCTACAACTTGAGGACGGCAGAGTTCGCCATTCCCAGATTTAGGACCAATAAATATGGTAAACACTCGCTCACCTACCTGGGACAAAAGTTGTGGAATAAGCTACCAAGCGAAATCAGAACTCCCCCATCATTATTTAGGTTCAAAAATTGTATTCGTAAATTTGATCTAGGTGTAATGATAGACGACGACAATTGCTCCAATTCGATCCTTTGTAATTCTTAATCTTTTTAAATCAATTATTTCATTAGTTGATAGTTAGTAGGTTTTTAACTATATTATATTGTTAGGTAACTATATTATATTGTTAGGTGTCCCCAGTTAGTAGAGGGGTTCTTCACCCCATCGGCTAGACATTCCAAGACACATTAATAAAGTTTTATGTATGTATGTATATATAACGAACGGTGTGTTTCGTGGACTTGTGCGGCGATGCCTGCAGAGAGAGCCTGGGGCGAGACCAACAATGCAGGAGATAATCGATGAACTGAAAGACTTCGATCCAACTTCTTAACTGTAAAAAGAACGGTATGCAATGCGACTGAAAACTCGCAGTTTTTAAGAACTTCCTGTGGAAAAAGTTGAAAAAGTAGGAACGCTTTTTTTGCTGAATTTTAGGACATGAAAATAAGTTTAAGTAATTCCGGTTGTAAGGGCCTGAAAAAGGTGACCTTATTCGCGAGCGCTTCCTTAGCTCTTAGTTGTTGCAGGGAAACAATGCAATTTACTTATAACTTAGGAACTGATACTAGAATTTGTATTGAGAAGTACAGTGTCCATACAAGTCAGGTACTTGTAGTAAAGAGTTAATACTTACGTTAGTAATTAGGTATTCCTTGTTAAGGTATTTACAAAGTAATTAGGTTTTTTCGGTGGAGAATATATTTTTGATCAGTTGTTGGGTGTTTGTACTTATGAGGGAGATAAGGTAAAAGTTTGGCACTTACATAGTAGTAAGACATGTTATTTGTAATTTTTTTAAGTCGGGTTCTTACGGCTTATACATATATATGTTTTCTTTTATGTAATTGTTTTCTGAAACTCGTACTTACATGACGATTATATAACGACTGTTTTAAATATGTTTAGGCACCGGGAACGTGAACGTTGTTGATAACAGGGCTGCCAACTTGGCATGATAGTTATACTGACATTTAAAAGTAGCCAGTCTTTGTTCTCAAAATGTTGAGGCTGCTCGACACAGCAAAATCTCGGTACCGGCTCTTCTGCGAATGACCACCAGGGCGGGAAGTAGTCAGTCAGGTCTGAAGCGTAGACACTGAGGTCGGAGAATGGAAACAACACAATTTCCTATCGCCTATGTGCATTGTATAGTTCCAAAAAACATCCATACGCTCCCCACGAAAGCACGAAAGGAAACTGAATTGCTGATGGCAATGGGGGGACCAAACGGAGGCAATTTCCAAGGGGGGGGGGGGGGGTTTCTTTTCGATTTTTTTTCCCTGGGGCTCCAAGATAAGACTGTGGTTACGATAAACACAGAGAGCAGCGGATATCTTGTTTATTCAGCAGTTAAATGTTAGTTTTTACTTGGAAACCCCAAGTCTATCGCTGCGATTTTACTTGGACATTTTGGATCCTTGACATTTTTCCCCCAGTGGAAGGGAATCTAAGACACTCTTGACTTGTGGATGATCCACACCTTCGATTACGGATCCCAGGTACTGGATTCCGGCCTTTGTCAGTGGATCTTGGATTCTGATTCCAATCGTTAGTAGGATTCCGGATTCCGTAGGCTGTATTCCGGATTCCAAAGCCCTGGATTCCAGAATTTACGAGCGAAAACTTTCCGGATTCCGAAATCCAGATTCCCTTACAGGGAGCGATATTTTGAGAAGTGTCCCACACTGTCGAACCAACTATGTGTCCCTTAGACTAAGATTTTAGCACAGTTCTATCAATATAACCTCCGTCGATACCCTTATATGTCCGTCCCTTACTCTTTTTTTTTTTGGCCCAATGTAAGGGAATCCAAGACGGTCTTGCATTGTGGATTCCTCACCTTGGATTCCTGATTCCAGGAGCTAGATTCCGGCCTTTGTCAGTGGATCTTAGATTCTGAATCCAATGGGTAGTGGGATTCCGGATTCCTTAGGCTGTATTCCATATTCCAAAGCCCGGGATTCCAGATTTTACGAGCAAAAACTTCCCGGATTCCGAAATTCAGATTGGCTCACATGGGGCGATATTTTAAGAAGTGTCCGTCCCTTGCCCTCCGTCCCTTACTCATATATGTGTAACGTGTTACTCTTCCTGTGCTGTCTAGTACAGAATTTCATCTAACATGAGAAAGGAAAGAGAATGTGCTTTGACGTCAAATTTTCACTTCTCCTTTGGAGAGTCGAGATTACGAGACTCCGTTACAGCCACGAATAAACTAGATCATTATAGACAAGACAGGATTGCTGGGGGACCTCAAGGATAGCTTAACTAAGAACTGACTTAATCACCAATTTTCAGTACCTAACAAAATACAATGGCCTCCTTTTTCTTTTTCTAAGGCCCGACATAGATTGGAACTTCTATTTAAGGGACACCCTCGGGACCAAGGCAAGTGTCCCTTGAATAGAGGTGTCCCCTGAATGGAGGTTAGGCTGGGGTTTGTTAATATAAACCAACAATGAAAACTTTTTCTTTTATTCTGCGTCAGAATCTGCTGCAGTCATTATCTCAAACATATCAATGATTTTTGTGGTCAGTCACTTTTTGAGTGCTACGGTGTCCCCTGAATGGAGGTAAAACCCGAGTTTCGGAACCAAGAAAAAGTGTCCCTCTACCCTGAATAGAGGTGTCCCTTCAATAGAGGACCAAATTTGTTATTGAAATTATTTGTCCACTTCATTTGTTGTATTTCTTCCCAAAATTTTAATGATGGCATGTTACATTTTGTAAAGACTGCTATTTATTTGCAAATACATGTGATTTTACATGACAGGCCTAAGGGATGTTAATAATTTATTAATCCAATAAATAGATGATTAGCCTGGCTATTTCGCAAAGGCAGTAGTGTCGGGGGTTGTATAATTTAGAGGGTCTCGGGACATGCTTCCATTCAACAAATTCTCAGAAAAACCGTGATTTCCAGCACTCTGAGGATTGAATAATACAAATTGATAGTGTTGAGGTCAGTTTTCATTACAATTTTTTCTACTGAGAAAGTTTTGTGTTCGTTATTCAATGATGTTGTTTCTTTCCATAACTGTCAAAACGTTTCTTTTAAATAGAGCGGCAGCGGAATCCGAGACCTAAAAGTGATGAAAGAACGCTGGTAGAGCTGTCAAGGGAGTAGACTTTGTATGCTATCAACAGCGTTTAATTGGTCTAAAATAACGTTTGGTGCAATAAATTTGATTTTCCAAATCCGGGCCGGCTGAACTGACTTCAGGGCCTTACCATCTCTGTCCCGTTATTCTCACCTGATAATACATATTTCTGCTTACAGGCAAACTAACAAATACTTCAATTATTTAAGAGCGGCTGTCTGCAAATATCGAGAATTCGCCGTCAAAACTGAAATTTCGCCGGAAATACTTCATTTTCAGTCAGAACGAACCCTTTGGTGAAACATTTTCGAAAATCACATTCAAAGTTTCCAAAGAATTTTCATTTTCGAGAAAACCGCCAAAAAGTGAAATGCTGCCCCACGCCATATAGTCGCCGGTCCAAAACCTTTTGAATTATACCATTTTCAAAGCCCTTGGGAAGAAAGGCGATCCAAGGAAACAAGTTCATCTTTGGCAGGTAACTAAGGCATTTTAGTTGCAATACTGTTTGGTAAAAATATTGCAAGATAATGCATTTTTTACTCGGTTAAAAATCGCCCCAAGATTCCTATCTTCAGCACTTTCATAAACAATCAAATTTTGCGAAACTTTAAAGGCAAAAATCACGGCTTGGTACATAAAATCTTAGAAGAATCATTATACCTCAGTAAAGCCCTACTGTTGTAGTACAACATATAAAAAATCCAGCTTGGGCAATGAAAAAGGAACCCGTCGAGAGAGGTAAACGCGAAGTTCACCTTCGATGTTTTTCCATAAAATGTTGAAACCGTCACGCAACCGGGGGTAACACAAACTCCATGAAATTATATTTAATGGGCCTAAATATACATTTTTTTTTCAGTGAAGATCAATAGATAGTGGTCTATAACTGGTAGTATCTAATGAATATTTAAGTCTTCTATGAATATAATTTTAACGTATAAATGGAATAAGTGAAAACCGCCGTGAAGAAGGTCAAGTGCAGACTAAATACATGTATGTACCGAAGAAAGGCGGAATGTTAAAAATACATGTACAGAATCTCAAATCAAGATTTTTTGATAAAGTGCATCTGAAGATTTGTCTCATTCGATCAAAACCCGTTACTGAGGGGCTGGAAGTTGTTAGAGTTCAAATGGCCGCTGAAATGGGAAACTGAAACTGCGTTTGGCAAACCAAACAACAAAACGATCAACAAATGATATCGACACCACCCTAGCACTCCTTTTTAAATTTATTTTTTGATTTATTTTATGTTCATTAAAGAGCTTGCATTCATTATAAACTAGTCCTATTGCTTCAGTGACCCAGGTGGAAGGTCGCCCTTTATGCGCTCTTCCCAACTGGTCGACAAAATGCTATTAAGAATTGTTAAATTGACACAAAATGTTCGTACGAAAAGTAATACCATTGAAACAAACAACCGACGGGCACTTCCCCTCTTCATAAAATACGTTATTTAACCGGCCAAGAAAGTACTCAAATTTATCATCAGTGAACTGTCATTACCTGAGTAAAACCTTGCAACCACAGTTTATATTAAAAACTCTTTACAAAGAGTACAGGATCGGCCTCTGAATGGTTCCTTTCAACTATATACAGCTATTTCGAGAAAGGTTGTCGGAAAAAAAGTGCACGCGACAATCCCGAAACGTAATATGGGATATGATCAGTACAAGGTTCCTGACGACTGTAGCTGTCGAACCTCCTTTTGTTGCTTTCCTTTGGCACTCGCAAACACATTTGCATAGCCTTTCGTACCAATTCTTTCAACTTTCTTTGAAAAAAAAAAGAGAACTCAAAACCACCCACAATTCCTTTCAGGGTTGTCGCGTGCACTTTTCCCGACAACCTTTCTCGAAATAGCTGTATATTTCTACCTCTCACTTGTCGGTCTATTCCCCACCGTAGGGCACACAAAAAAGCCCGTAATTCCCACCCCGTGACTTTTCATCGAGCGCAACTATGCGGCTGTTTCGTTTAATAATTTTTGTAGAAAATAAAGAGAACCTGACTTACATTGCGTCAACAAAAAAAAAACGGCGCTATTGTTTCGCGCGGCCACAAATACTTCGCACACACACAAAAAACAATGAAAAGTTAGTTTTAATTTGCCCACTCTCATTATACCCTCAGCCCCCGGGGCCCAGGTCCGAAGCTCTGCACTTTTTCCGCAGGCTGCCTTAAGCTTGGGGACGGATGGTAGAAGATAAAAAAGAACAAGGTTTTT